AGTGCGATTACTTCGTATCCAATATGCAGGTTCCAATAGGAATCTATTTGGAATCGAATCTGCCTCGGATACACGGCGTAGTCGAGTGCATCCTTTATGCAGATTCCTTTAGGAATCCAATTATAATCTGCCTCGGATACACGGAGTAATCGAGTGCGATTACTCCGTGTACCCAGTATGCAGGTTCCAATAGGAATCCATTTCGAAACTGTCTCAGATGCACGGCGAGTGCGATTACTCCGTGTATCCAACATGCAGGTTCCAAGAGAAATCCAATTCGAATCTGCTTCGGGTACACGGAGTAATCGAGTGCGGGTACTCCGTGTGTCCAATACACGGAGTAATCGAGTGCGATTTTGGTTCCAAGTGGGGACGAATCATGATCTGCCTCGGATACACGGAGTAATCGAGTGCGATTACTCCGTGTATCCATTATGCAGCTTCCAAGTGTATCGAACATGCAGGTTCCAATAGGAATCCAATTCGAATCGGCCTCGGATACACGGAGTAGTCGAGTGCGAATACTCCGTGTATCCAATATGCAGGTTCCATTTCGAATCTGATCAGAATCTGCTTCGGAGACACGGGGACATGTAGTGCGATTACTCCGTGTATCCAATATACAGCTTCCAAAAGGAATCCAATTAGAATCTGCCTCGGGTACACGGAGTAAGCGAGTGCGATTATTCCGCGCATCCAATATGCAGGTTCCAATAGGAATCCAATTCGAACCTGCCTTGGGAACACGCTGTAGTCGAGTGCGATTACTTCGTGTATCCAGTGTACTGGTTCCAATGGGAATAAAATTCGAATCTGCCTCGGATACACGGAGTAATTTTTGCGGGTACTTCGTGTGTCCAATATGCAGGTTCCAATAGGAGTCCAATTATAATCTGCCTCGGGTACACGGAGCAGTCGGGTGCGATTACTCCGTGTATCCAATATGCATGTTCCAATGGGAATCCACCTTGAATCTGCGTCGGATACACGGAGTAATCGAGTGCGATGGCTCCGTGTATCCAATATGCAGGTTCCAATAGGAATCCAATTTGAACCTGCCTCGGATATATGGAGCAATCGAGTGCGATTACTCCGTGTATCAAAAATGCAGGTTCCAATAGGAATCTAATTCGAATCTTCCTCGGATACACGGAGTAATCGAGTGCGATTACTTCGTGTATCCAATATGCAGGTTCCAATAGTAATCCAATTCGAACCTGCCTCGGATACACGGAGTAATCACGTGCGATTACTCCGTGTATCCAATATGCAGTTTCCAATAGGAATCCAATTCGAACCTGCCTCGGGTACACGGAGTAATCGAGTGCGATTACTCCGTGTATCCAATGTACAGGTTCCAAGAGGAATCCAATTATAATCTGCCTCGGATACACGGAGTAATCGAGTGCGATTACTCCGTGTATCCAATATGCAAGTTCCAAGAGGAATCCAATTCGAATCTGCCTCGGATGCACGGAGTAGTCGTGTGCGATTACTCCGTGTATCCGATATACAGATTCCAGTATAAATCTACTTTGAATCTGCTGCGGATACACGGAGTAATCGAGTGCGATTACTCCGTGTATCCAATATTCAGGCTTCAATTGGAATCCAGTTAGAATCTGCTTCGGATACACGGAGCAGTCGAGTGCGATTACTCCGTGTATCCGATAGGCAGGTTTCACTTGGAATCCAATTTGAATCTGCCTTGGATACACGGAGTAATCGAGTGCGATTATTCAGTGTATCCAGTATGCAGGTTCCAATCGGGAATCGGCCTGGACTCGGCTGCGGAATCGGCCCGGGAGGCCTTGCCGGGCGCCAGAAGGAGAAACTCAGCATTTTCACAGGAAGCATGTGTATGGAAATGGCATTTTTTCGGCGCCGCCGCGGATCTCGATTTCCCAGCTACGGCCAGCACTATTCAATTAGAATCTGCTTCGGATACGCAGAGTAATCGAATGCGACTATTCCATGTATCCAATATGCGGGTTTCAGTAGGAATCCAATTAGAATCTGCCTCGGATACACGGAGCAATCGAGTGCGATTACTCCGTGTATCCAATATGCAGTTTCCAATAGGAATCCAATTCGAACCTGCCTCGGGTACACGGAGTAATCGAGTGCGATTACTCCGTGTATCCAATATGCAGGTTCCAAGGGGAATCAAATTGGAATTTGCCTCGGGTACACGGAGTAATCGAGTGCGATTACTCCGTGTAGCCCAGATACAGGTTCCAATAGGGGTCCAATTAGAATCTGCCTCGGGTACACAGAGTAATCGAGTGCGATTACTCCGTGTATCCAGTATGCAGGTTCCTTTAGGAATCCAATTATAATCTGCCTCGGATACACGGAGTAATCGAGTGCGATGACTCTGTGTAGCCCATATACAGGCTCCAATCGGAATCCAATTAGAATCTGTCTCGGGTACACGGAGTAAGCGAGTGCGATTTTTCCGTGTACCCAATATGCAGGTTCCAATAGTAATCCAATTCGAATCAGGCCCGGATGCACGGAGGAATCGGGTGCGATTACTCCGTGTATCAATCTGCAGGTTCCAATCGGAATCCACTTGGAATCTGCTTCGGGTACACGGAGTAATCGAGTGCTATCACTCCGTGTATCCAATATGCAGGTTCCAATAGTAATCCAATTAGAATCTGCTTCGGATGCACGGAGTAATCGAGTGCGATTGCTCCGTGTATGCCGGCGCCAGGCGGCGTCGCCGGTTTGTTGTTGTTGTTGTCTTTGGTGTTTGTTCGTGATGCTGTTTTTGTTTTTGTCATTGTTGTTGTTTTGTTATTGCCGCTGTTTTCGCTGTTGTTGTTGGTGTTAGTTGTATTTGTATTACTGTGGTTATGTTTTTGTCTTTGTTGTTGTTATTGAACATTATTTATTCTAAAGAATAATTATTGTTGGGCCCCCTGGTGCGCGCCCCCCCTGCGCCGCCTAGGCCGCAGCTACATTTTCATCATTTTCGTGAGGAAGCCTCAGAAAAGAGGGTGTGTACAGGATCCGGTTGTTTTGTTGTAATCCGCTTTCCCTTGCAAAAAACAATAGAAAATGACATTTCTTGTTCTAATATAATCAAATTTCAAGAATCCCTTGCAAAAAATAAGGTAAAGTGGACATTCGCGCGCGCAAGACGAAATCCTTCCAAAACCTTAGTGTTCGCAGCGATTTTAACATAAAAACATCAAAAAACCAATGGTTTTTCAACAAAAAATTGTCAAAATCTCATCCCGCGCGCTCTTGCGGATTCGTAGGAAACCCAACACTTTTTAAACATTTCTGTCAAACGGGCTTTTGCGAGCAACTTTTTCGAACTTCTGCGACAACGGTTGCGCACCTGCCAGGGCCATCATCCCTGTCAAATAATACCATGCGGGACACATTCGTTTTTTCTTCGCGCGCGCACGCCGTCGTCGTCGGCCGCGGGGCCCTGAATAGTAGCCACGGTCGTCCGCATGCCACGAAGTGAAGTGTCCGAACGTCATAGGGCGGGAAGCTGGGTGTGGGTGGTGGCGAAGAGTCGTATGGAAATTTGGTAGAGCTTGAACCGGCCCCCCCGCAAAGTGGGGGTATTGCCCGCCTCCTATGAAAACCCTGGCACTGGTGAGAACGGAGTGTCCCCAGTCTTAAATGATTGTTGTTGCTGTTGTTGTTGTTGTTGTCTTTGTTCTTGTTTTTGTTTGTGTTAATTTGGCTATATATATATATGTATGCATGTTTGTATTACTCCCTGGATTCACCCGAACCGCAACATGTAACATCGGCGTTTGCGTTCCCTTTGGGAGCATCGTCGTGGCATGTAGGACGAAGGGTTGAATCCGTATACGCGGGGAACATTGCGACAGAAAGAGGTAGAAAGAAAGAGAGAGAGACAGGAAGAGATAATGAGAGAGATAGAGTGAGAGACAGAGAACAGGAGGAACGAAGGAAATCAGTCAGACTGTCCTTGGGGCATATTGTGGATTCTTGAGGCTCTTCGGGTCCTCTTGGAACCCTTGTGGGGCTTCTTAAGTGTGTCCTGGGGCCCCGTGGGGTGGTCTTGGGGGACGGAAAAAAGGGATCCTGCTGTGGCATCATGGTGGCTTCTTAGCTGCCGAGGAGCCCTCAGGGACTAGTTTTGCGCTCGCTTGGGCCGCCCTGGGTCCTCCTCAGGCCCCCTTCGGCCCTCTTGTGTTCCTCCTGGGCCGTCTTGGATAGTTCTTGGGCCGTCTTGGCCGGGTCTCTTTGGAGCACTCTCGAGGCCATCTTGGGCCGAAAAACTTTGGATGCCAATGCGTGTCGCTGAATAACTTCATGCTTGGCGATCATGTCTGCCTCCTGGGCACTCGTCTGTGGTGTTTTGAGGCCTTGCTGTGGGCCTCTCGGGGGCTCCTGGGTCGTCTCCGAGGGCTCTTGATCATCTTGGAGTCTCTCTTGGGCCGACTTGGAACGCATTGTGAGCATATCGGATGCCTCTCGGAAAACACCAGGAAGGCGTCGTGACGTCCAGGGAGTCTTGTGATGGGGGTCGCGATGCCTGTGAGCGATTGATATAAGGAGGGGGGGCTTTTAGAAACCGTGCAGACCCTACCAGACAAACCCTCGCATAATACCACGACCCGTCGTGCCAGGATGCACGGTGACGGATTTTGGTATCTGTGTCTTCGACTGTGCATGTTGCCCAGGACTATTTGTTGTTTCATTGAACGAGAAGGATTTTTCATCGTGATTTGGATTTTGGTGAGGTGGTCCTGTTCGCGACAGTTTGTGCCTGGTTCTGTTCGTTCTGTGCATCTGTGGCTATGTCCGTCCCTCCGTTAGTTCGGTCGTTATCCTGCATCTTCGCCCTGCCGCCGTCCACGTTGCCTGCCCATTTGCTTGTGTGTCTACCTGCATGTTTTTGGATCTGTTTGCCCGCCGGCCCTCATTTGAGGCTCCCTGCCAGCCTACGCGCCATCCTGTCTTTCGGTCGCACGCCCGTGTTCTTCGCAAGTGCGTGGATTATTTTGTGGCTCCAAGCAGGTTGTCTTGCTACCGCCCCTCCCCGCGCACAGTGGGAGCGACGGGGCTGTCTTTTTGGCGACCGCGCCGCAGGTCGCGGGATGGCAAAGCTGCGTGATGGAGTCAGCTAGTTTCTGATGCAGTCTCGACGGGGTCTTCCTTTAGGGCACAGTGCCCAAGGGCACCTCTCAGTACGGCATGTTCGTGTCGTGTCGACGCGGCGGCGACCCCAGCGCGGGCGTTCGCGGTTGAACGCCGCCAGTGGCATGGAACCGCCGATATCGAATGATCTGCGCTATCCGGAAACTGAAATCGCTCAGAGTTGAACGATCCACGCGGTGTCAGGAACCAACGCCGCAGTCGTCACGGCACGAGGCGGCCCCACCCCGAATCTCCAGGGGCCCGCTTCCCATCTCCCCCTCCCCCCTCGTCCCCCCATTCCCCCCCGGCCCGTGCTCGGAGCCCGCTTGACCCAGGCTGCCCGCGAGGGCGCGAAGGTGACCGCGCCTCGCGCCTCGTGGTCTGGGCCAGAGGGGCGGTATCCTGCCCTGGGGGGGCCCGGGGGGGGGCGGCGCCTGGATGCGGGCGAGAGCCGCCGCGCCTCGCGCTCTGCGGGGCGCGCGGAGCGCGGAGCTCCGCTCCTTCCTCCCAGACGGGCAGCGTCTCGAGCAAGAGCAGGACAGAGGTTTCTCGCCTTCGGCCCCCCCGGGGGCCCTGGGCGCCGCGGGGCCGTCAGAGAGCGACTCGGGGCGAGCAGCTGGCCGAGGGGGAGCAGGCCTGGGCTCCCAGGGGCCGCGCATGGAGCAAATCAGGCGACCGCATGTCTGGGCTCCTCTCTTGCCATTCCTACCCCTGTCGGGCCCAGGAGGCTACGAATCTGCTGGCGTGCGCTTTCCTCGATGCATGGGCGCCTCTGGCGCTGGGAAGCCCCGGTAAAAAACCAGCTGCGGCAGCTGAGTCGCGAACCTCCCCTTGAACTAACCCCCCTCTCGTCCGACCCGGCCCTCCTCCCTTGTTCTGGAGTCCCCAGGGATCACACGAGGTCCCCACGGGCTCTTTGAGAAACATCCAGAGGCTTCCAGGTGCCCTCCCAAAGGGGCCGCGATCGATCCTCGAACGTCGAACCTCGTTCATCCTTTTTTCCTCCGCCCTTGTTCCACCATCCCTTACAAGTAATTCCTCGTGGGTAGGATTGTCAGGGCGCACCAGTCACGTTGATTCGCGGTGTAGATGTCTCTGAAATGGTGGTTTGGCACGGTGCAGGATCGTTTGGGCGCAACCGTAAAATTGATTCGCGGCAATGAAGTCCAAGGTCTAGCGTTTCGGTACGAATGAGGAATGGGGCCTACGAAGAGGAAGCTTGGGGGGGAGGGTTTTGTCACAGCATCGTTGATGCGTGTCGGGTCTACACTGATCCTCCCTCTTCCTCTCTCTTCGTCCCTCCTCCCCCCTCCTTCTCTTCCTCCCTCCTCCTCCTCCTCATCTTTTTCATCCTCCTACTCCTGCTCCTGCTCCTGCTCCTTCTTCTCCTCCTTCTCCTCCTCCTCCTCCTCCTCCTCCTCCTCCTCCTCCCCCCCTCCCTGTTCCTCTTCCCTTACTCCTTCCTTATCCTCCTCCTCCTCCTCCTCCTCCTCCTCCTCCTCTCTCCTCCCTCCTCCTCCCTCCCCATTTCTTCTTCTCTTCCTCTCCATCCTCCTCCTTCTCCTCCTCCTCCTCCTCGCTCCTCCTCCTCCTCCTGGGCACGGGGCAGTGACTGCATGATAGTCCTTCATGGATGCTGCCACCTCCCTCCTCGTCCTCCTCCTCCTCCTCCTTCTCCTCCTCCTCCTCTTCCTCGTCCCTTTCCACCTGCAGGCGTCCGTGAGATGGGGGGAAATGGGGGCAGGGGGAGCTGTGGGAGTGTGGAAGGCAGGGAGGAGGGGGGGGCGGGGGGATCTGAGATGGGGGGGGAAGGGGAGGGGGGAACGCAACGGCGCGTCAACGCAGGCTCGGACGAGCAGCGTGGCGAGAGTTCTTCGCTCCGCTTCGTCCTCCTCTTCCTCCTCCTTGCGCAGGCAGGGAGCAAGGCCTGGAGCACCAGCGCCCCGCGTGGAATAAATGCCCACGAGTGCCGCCTTGCAAGAACATACACACACACACGCACACGCACACGCACACACAGACACAGACACAGACACAGACACAGACACAGACACAGACACAGACACAGACACAGACACAGACACAGACACAGACACAGACACAGACACAGACACAGACACAGACACAGACACAGACACGACACGACACACACACACACAAAATAACCACGATCACCACACACACAACACACCAACACACAACCACACACACATCCAACACACAATCCATACAGACACACACACACAACCTAAACACAACAACACTACGCACACAACCACAACCACACCAGCCCCCCCCCAGCACACACAGCACACACAGCACACACAGCACACACAGCCCCACCACTCAGAACACACTCGCACACACAGAAAACAATCACACATAACACACAAACGCACAACACACACAGACACACACACATTCGTACGGGGGGGGGGGGGGGGGGGGTGGGGGGGGGGGGGGGGGGGGGAAAAAAAAAAACCACGCGCGCCCGACGCACGGCGACGATCACGATGCACAGGATCCCGTCCCAGTCCTTGTTGTCCTGTGACGCCTCCGTAGCCAATCTGTAGATCTTCCGCAGGCATCTCAAGACGCTAACGTCGGTCCCGATTCGGGTGCGCTTGCATCGCACGCTGCGTAGCGAAGTTGTTTTGGGCAGTCGACAGTGTCCCATTCTCCACTGGAAACGCGCAGCAGCTCGGACAAAAGGCTCCTCGGCTTCAGCGTTTCAGTGATAATGGGTCGTCGACATTGGCCGCGCATCCTACAATGGATCCTCGGGCTGCGATTATGGGAGCCTCGATTTTGCCTCGAGCCTCAAACTGCTCGATTGCATTGCAGCCCTGGCCGTTGCACCGATTCGAGACCCATTGGATCGTTGTTTCCTGCTTCTTGCGCCCCTCCTTCCCTGGGGGAGTCACAGCTCCCGACTGGGGCAGCACGCACGCCACCGGGTCGGGCTCCCCCAACGAGAGTACGAGTCTCCGTTCCTGCGCTGGCTGCACGATGCTGCAGTGGGGGGTTCCGCTGTAGACGATCTGCTAACCTCAGAGGGCCTCCAGCCAGGGCTGAGAAACAGCAACCGACACAAACATCGACTTTCGAAGGAGGAGGGAGGAGGATGAGGGAGGAGGATGAGGGAGGAGGACGAATACGAGGGATGATGCTGATGCTGATGATGATGATGAGGAGGAGCAGGAGGAGGAGGAGGAGGAGGAGGAGGAGCAGGAGGAGGAGGAGGATCAAGAGGAGGGGGAGGAGGAGGAGGAGGAGGAGGGGAGGAGGGAGGAGGAGAGGGGAGGAGAGGAGGAGGAGGAGGAGGAGGAGGAGGAGGAGCGGAGGAGGAGGAGGAGGAGGAGGAGGAGGTAGGAGGAGGAGGAGGCGGAGGAAGGAGGAGGAGGAGGGAGGAGGAGGAGGAGGAGGAGGAGGACGGGGAGGGGAGAGGAGGAGGAGGAGGAGGAGGAGGAGGAGGAGGAGGATGAGGAGGAGGAGGAGGAGGAGGAGGAGGAGGGAGGAGGAAGGAGGTGGAGGAGGAGGTAGGAGGAGGAGGAGGAGGAGGAAAAGGAGGAGGTGAGGAGGAGGAGGAGGGGAGGTGGATGAGGAGGAGGAGGAGGAGGAGGAGGAGGAGGAGGAGGAGGAGGAGGAGGAGTGAAGAGGCGAGGAAAGAGGCGGAGGAGGAGGGGAGGAGGAGAGGAGGAGAGGAGGAGGCGGAGGAGGCGGAGGGAGGAGGGAGGAGGAGAGGAGGAAGGAGGAGGAGGAGGAAGACGAGGGAGGGGGAGGAGGGAGACATCTCGGGGCTGCAGCTCGGCCCCCTGCTCCTCCGCCCACTCCAGCGCCTTCTGGCGAGCCTCGTGCGCGCTGCCCGCCCCCCCCGAGAGATGCAGGCACAGGGGGCGCCGCCAGCAGGGGGGGAGGAGGAGAAGAGGAGGAGGAGGCAGGAGGCGGAGGAGGAGGAGAGGAGAAGGAGGAGGGGAGGTAGGAGGAGGAGTAGAGGATCAAGAGGAGGAGCGTAGCGATGAGGAGTAAGGAGGAGGATGAGGAGGAGGGAGGAGGAGGAGAGGCGGAGGAAGAGGAGGAAAAGAGCGAGGAGGAGGAGGTAGGAGGAGGAGGAGGAGGAGGAGGAGGAGGAGGAGGAGGAGGAGGGGGCGGAGGGGGAGGGGGAGGAGGGGGAGGAGGGGGAGGATGAGGAGGGCGGAGGAGGGGAGGAGGAGGAGGAGGAGGAGGAGGAGGAGGAGGAGGAGGAGGAGGAGGAGGAGGAGGAGGAGGAGGAGGCCCAGCGCCAACCCAAGGAATCTGCGCGGACCTCTGACATTGGCGGCGAGCGAGGGGGGGGAAGCGAGAAGCAGGAGGCCCGCTCAGAAGGCGGCGGGGCTTCTGACTCCCCCCCAGGCTCGCCGCCGCTCAAACCTCGCTCCACGAAGCGGGTCCCCATTCCCCAGCCGCCATCTGGATAGAGCCGGCGGCACAGTGGTAGCGCGAGGGGGGCGGTCTTCTCATGAAGAGGGCGGGAGTGTTTCGAAGAAGGGATGCTATCGTGTAGGAGCTCTTCTGGCTTTTAAGCAGCCTTCTTCGAAGCCTTTGGGTCCTTCTCAGAAGGCCTGCGCCTTCTAAGGCGCCCCCCGCCTTCTCGGAAGGCCATTCCCCTCACGCCACCTCCTTGTGCGTGCCGCCAGTCAGAGGCCAGGACGGGGGCAGTAGGAGGCGGAGGCACCGGAGGAGAATGAGGAGGAGGAGGAGGAGGAGGAGGAGGAGGAGGAGGAGGAGGAGGAGGAGGAGGAGGAGGAGGTTGGCCTGCAAGCGAGGTGCGGCGGCCGCGCTTGAGCCATGCAGGGCGGCTACGGGCAGGCTGGCGCGGGCCTTGCCTTCTGTTTGGTCACCGCTGCCGTGTAGCGTGTCCCTTCGGAGGAGGAGGAGGAGGAGGACGAAGACGGGGCGAGGATAAGGCACCAGAGGAGGAGGAGGAGGAGGAGGAGGAGCCTCCTTTATTGCTCCTTCACTCCCGCTCATCCTGCTCACCCGCCACCTCCTCCTGTGCACGTAGCTTCGCTTTTTCTGATTGCGCACGTGGGAGTCGCTGGTCGGCTATGACACGCGTCCGCTGATGATAAAACATCGGCGCCATGCGAGGGATGGGAGGGAGCGAAAGGACGTCACATGAGGCGTGAGCTCACCTAGCTTGTCCCCTCCTCTCTCTCTCCTCCCTCTCGCCTGCCCGTCGCCCTACTTCTTTGACATGTTTCCTACCTGCCAGCGACTCCTGGAGCGAAAGCCCCAGGAGTCGCCTGGCCCCTTGTTTGACTAGCCATCCATGGCCGACCGGCCCTGGGCCTGAGTGACAACGTTAGTACGACCTTTATGCCATCAGGTGATCAGGTAACGAGGTAATCAGGAGGAGAAACACGAGTTGAGTGAGTGAGTGAGTGAGTGAGTGAGTGAGTGAGGGAGGGAGGGAGTGAGTGTGTCAGTGAGTGAGCGAGCGAGCGATCGAGCGAGTGGGTCAGGAGGAGGAGGAGGAGGAGGAGGAGGAGGAGGAGGAGGAGGAGGAGGAGGAGGAGGAGGAGGAGGAGGAGGGGGCGACAGCAGGCATGTGTTCGAAGGCTAATTTTCGGGCCTCCCAAGGCCCAAGACGACCCAAGAGGCCCCCATGATGCCCCCCGGACGGCCCGAGAGACGTCGAAGACGGCCACAGAGGTCCCCAAGACGGCCCCAGGAGGGCCTCAAGATGGCCCAAGAGAGCTCCAAGACGCCCAACATGGCCCCCAAGACGCTTCAAAAATCGGCCAGGACGGTTCAAGAGGACCCCTGATAGGCCTCCAAGACGGTCCAGGAGGTCTCCAAGATGACCCCCAGGAGGATGCGCAGATGTCAACGTTTCTCTTTTATGAAAAATTGTTGTTGGAGGATTTTGGTCCTGGAGGCCAAGGCGGCCCAAGACGGGCCCAAGATGACCCAAACGTCCTTTCTGGGTTGCTGACGGCCCAAGACGGCCTTGGATTCCTCCAGGATAGCGCCCCGAGATTGGCCAAGGTACGGCCCCGAGACGGAGCAACAGGGCCCCACGACGAGCCCTTTGAAACAAAAGCGCCATTGGCGGCTCCGTCGCCACCAGCATCCGCACCGTCGTCATCGCAACTGTGACACGAGAAGAGTGTCAGGTCAGTTGCATTGGGCTGAGCCTGGAGGGTTTCTCCGAAGGGCTTAGGCGACCCGTCGTCCTTCTCCTCCTCCCCCTCCTCCTCCCCCTCCTCCTCCTCCGCCTCCTCCTCCTCCCCTCCTCCTCCGCCTCCTCCTCCTCCTTCACCTCCTCCTCCGCCTCCTCCTCCTCCTCCTCCTCTCCTCCTCCTCCTCCTCCTCCTCCTCCTCCTCCTCCTCCTCCTCCTCCTCCTCCTCCTCCTCCCCCTCGCCCTTCCCTCTTCGGGTCGCCTACGACCCCTGGGGAAACCGTCCACGAGAAGAGTGCCGGGTCAGTTGCACTGGGCTGAGCCAACCGGGCTGAGGTAGGCCAAGGAAGGCTGAAGCCATGCGAACTGATGTAAGTTAATGACGTCTGGGGTATACGCAATGCTTACGCAGGCTAGGGTAATTCAGGAGCAAGTGAGACAACAGTGATCATTCTTAGGTCGACCCAGGTGAATTAAGGTGAACTCAGCTGGCGAAGACGAGCTGAACTGAGCTCTTAGGCTCAAGTGCGCTAAGGTACGCTCCAGCAAGATCGGATATACTAGGTTGTGAGAATAGAGGGGCATCTGCGATGGCATGTGCTTTGGGAGCTCAGAAGCTCACCAAGACGAAGCAGTCTCCGAGACCGCACCAGAACCTAGAGTCGGAGATCAGACCAACGGGAAACGATCGCTGACATGCCGCCGTGCTTAGGATCATCATAATTGCGATCATGTGTATCCAGTTGCCTGCGGCAACCCCCGCCACTGCGCTTCTGTAACAGCGTAGCAGACAGGTTACTGAGTGTAGGAACAGTGAACTTCCGACGAGTGGTTTGAACTGAGACGGGTTGCGGACTCATCCTCGCCTTCGAACGCGCGGTATGAACGACGTCGACTTTAGGCCCCGCTGCAGTTCAGCGATCCGTCTGAACTTGGACGGGTCGTGAACTCGACCTCGTCTTTGTCCACGCGGTAGGAAGGAGGTCGTTTGCACGCCTCGCTGCATTTCAGCGAATGGTCTGTACTGGAAGGGGTCGTGAACTCGACCTCGTCTTCGTCAGTGTGATACGAAGGAGGTCGAGCCCACGCCCAGCTGGAGTTCCAGTGGTTTGTCTGAACCGAAGAGGGTCGTGAGCTCGACCTCGGTCTGGTCCGCGCGGTAGGGTGGAGGTCGAATTCACGCTCCGCGACAAGCTAGCGGTTGGTTTGACTTTAGGTGGGTCGTGATGTCACCCTTGCGTTCGCGCGCTCGGTATGAAGGAGGTGGAGGAGGATGAGGAGGCCTCTTGATGTCCTATTGTTGGGGCCTCCTGGGAGCCTCCCGAGGGCCTTTTGGCTGTCTCTTGGGGGCCTCATGGGGCATCTTGGTGGCCTCTTGGGCTGTCTTAGAGGGCCTCTTGGCTTTTCTGACGCCTTCGGAGGGCGTCTTGGGAGCTTCCCTGGGCCGTCTTCGTCCCCTCTTGGAGCGTCTTAGGGCCGTCTTGGGACCCTCTTGGGAGGCTCTTGGGCGATCTTGGGGTCCTCTTGGGCCGACTCGGGGTCCTCTTGGGGGCCCCATGGGCGGTCTTTGGCGGTCGGGAGCCCAAACAGGCGAGAACCTGACAGTCCTTCAAGCACCCAAGGAGCATCAATGGTCTTTTGCTTCCTCCTCCTCCTCCTCCTCTTCCTCCTCCTCCTCCTCCTTCTCCTCCTCCAAGGGGGCTCCAAGACGCTCTCTTGGAGGGCGTCTTGGAGCCCTCTTGGGCCGGAGTCCGTCTGCAGAGCCTCTTGAGTCGTCTTGGGCCACCTGGACTGTCGTCTTGGCTGTCTGGGAAGCCGTCCTGGAGGCCATGTTGGCTGTTGGGAGGCCGAAAATACAGCCGGAGAGCAATTTCAGAGAGGCGACTTTAAACCACGCGTTCGTCGAGGGTGGGTGGGTGGGGTCGGCTCTGGAAAACTAAGGAAGCTTCCCAGAAAACAGAAAGCATTGTAACACGACCACTTGGCACAAGGCCCAGTGGCGGATATTTACGCTCGTGCTCATCTGGTCATGGTTCCTGCGCTCTTGCCATTGTTTTTGGGCGCTATCTGTCCTCTCCTTCCGAGCCCCCCCATTCCTTCCCAGACAGTGAGGGTGGAAGACGAGGACGAGGAGGTGCAGTGGGGTGAGAGGGGTGTCGACGAGGGGCCAGGAGGAGCGGGAGAAGGGGGTTCATCATCATTATGGTGGTGGTGCTGGTGATGACATTGACAACGACGATGACGACGATGATATGGTCGCTGCTGCTGATGATGATGACGATGATGATGATTCGGATTCTGCTGATGATGATACTGATGATGATGATGACTATGATGATGATGACGATGTTGATGATGATGATTCTGATGATGTTCATACTGATGATGAGGATGCTGATTATGATTATGGTCGTGGTGGTGATAATCATGATACGAATTATGATGACGATGCTATCATAATATCGATGAGTAAATATGCTCCTCTCCGCCTCATATTCAATTAGAGCTTAAGATAACTTGCATACTCCGCACTGTCTGCCTGAACTACTGCTGCATCCTGCAGCTGTATTGATTGCTCAAACAAGCCAGCCTTGGCTTGTAGGAGAGAAAAGGAGCGTGCCAGCCCTCGGCCGTCGCGCGTCGTCGGTCGTAGGCCAGCCGGCCTCCTCCCTACACATTCCTGGTAGAGTGATCTTGCTTAACGGATACTTGTCTTATCGATGTCTCATCCCGTCCCCTCTCTCCCTGAGCAGAGTGAACGTGAGATCTTAATTCTTTTGGCATCTTATCCCGATTCTCAGAGGAAAGACAGGTTATCAGCCGAAACGCGTGACTTAGTCGACGCGGGGCCAACTCACCCGGGAAAAGGAACATTGGGTGAGCTCCACGACTTAGTCGCTGCGGGAATGAGCTGTGATAAGACAAATGACGAGTCCGTCGTTTTGCGAAGCGCCGACAGGCATGTTGTACAACATGTTATATCGCCGCTCGGGTATCTAGGGGCAGAAGCACTGAAAGGGGTGGCAGAGATGTCGGCAGATGTCTCTCCCTCCGGGATTCCGATTGGTAGCCGGGAACAAACCCCAGACCCGCACGGGCGAAAAGGCACAACGGCGAGACCTAGACAGAGTGCGTTCTCGTCTTGGAGTGCCAAATCGACGGAGTCAACCAGCCCGATTCCAAATGCTACACATACAATCGTGCCTGCCACTGGTGAAACCAGTAGGCAAGGTGGTGCCCACGAGAACGCAGGCGTTTACCCCAGCGTCCCAGGCGAGTGGGCAGGTGCGAATAGAGACGTCCCCGTCCCAATAGCGTTAAATGGACAATTCGGTCAGGACAGCGATGATCCCATTGATAAAGAACACGAAACAAACTCAATGGAGGAGGATTTTGATAATCTCAACAACGAAATCTCTCTGAGCCGAGAACTGTCCCTGATGATGGAAGAAGACCTCCCCGCCCAAGGCGAGAGGTGGTCTCCAGATGGATCTGATGAAGACACTCGTATCCTGGCGCCTCAGGCGGACAGGACTGACGCTCAAGCGAAGCATGAGAGGGAGTCCACAGGCCGAACCCCTGCACCTCACCTCAAGAAGGAAAGAAATGAGGATTATGACCTACATGTCTCACCACTGAAGGAAGGTTTCTTTCGTCTCGCGGTCACCTCGGGCGACTGGCAAC